GGGGGCATAAATGATTGGCAAGACAAACCTCCATGTTCGGCTATAACAACAAAAACTTGGGAAAAAAGATAAGGTACTAGACTAAAAGTTCCATCAACGTAAATTTTTGTTACGCGGTGAATCCAATCGCTGACACCGTCTTTTCCAAAAATCAAAATTCGGTCTTGATCACCAGATCCCGAATCGCCGATAACAAAATTTTCAATATTTTTCCTGTAATATTTATAATTTTTGGCAGTTCAATGGAAGCCCTGTCAATTGGTTGTGATGGGGCTGCATTTATGTCTTTTCTACGTCGTTTAATAACTAATCTTGCAGCTTCTCTACTTGGAAACTGTCCTAGTGCTCCAACAGACAGCTCTTGCGTTTCTTCAATGCGAATTACTGCGAGAGTTTCTTGTGTTTCAACAGCCTTTCGCTTTTAATTGATGTTAAAGAAAGAACAACTTCCATGCGTGCTGCATTTCCCTTCATGAGAAGGATTGCGAACAAGTTTTAAAAAATTCACCTGTAACTGCATCAGTGTAAATTCTTCCTTTACATTTATTGTTTTTGGAAAATTCAAATTCACAATGCCACGATTTTTTTTTTTTTTTTTGCTCCATTTTCTATATATTTATCGAAACAGTATAAATATCCATCGTGCTCATACTTTTCTTTACCTCTCTTAAGTCATATATTTTCTGCTTCCAGACATTTCTACGGCTCAAGTGTTAACATTGAATTAAAAAATATCGACTAGCGTCTAAATAGATTACGGCGCTCTTTAGAGAAAATAAGAAATACGCATGCATTGATAATCAGCAATAGATAACGACAAATCTGAAGCGATTTCATAACCCCCCTAATCTGACACATACAGGTATCAGTACTCTGACACAAACGAGTCGGTCCATTGGGAGGGTCAGTTAACAATAGCTTCATACTCAGACTGATGGATTATATACTTAAGATGACAAATGTTTACTTACAAGTTAGGCATGCAATATCGTCAAGCACATTTCTAATTCTGGAGTATGTTTTAGCAAGGAAAATGAATTTATGTTTCTTTCTCAAAAAAATCTGTTATAATATATATTATATTAGGCATATAGCATTTATTTGAATGACGATGCAAACTTATTCTAAAAATAAATAACAATACGGAAAGTATGGCATCAAACAAAAGCAAAAAAAAAAAAAAAAAAAAAAGTATGGCATCGAAACGACCGACCTCATGTCGAACCGTTGGCGTTGAACTGACCTGTACCGATACATGTGTACTATAGACTTAAAATCAGGGATCACCAAGTTAAGATGTACCCGCTGGACAAAAACAAAACTGCCTTTGTATGTCAGTTTGGAATCTATAGATTCAAAAGGATGCCTTTTGGATTGAAGACGGCACCAGCCACTTTTCAAAGGGACAATATTATTGTGATGTCTTCTACTTTTGAGGAGCATCTCGAAGACTTGCGCTTAGAGTTTGAGGGACTCAGAGATCTCAAGACCATTGAGTAATCTCACAAAGAAGCACTTCACTTGGAAATAGAGACCAAGAAAGAACATTTCTAAGAATGCTGCGCAAAAGAACCAACAACACAATTCTTCCTGTGGCTACTCATTGAGACATCTTCGTAGCCAGGGGGGAAGACAAATGAATATCATCAGCAATGCTCTCTACCGACGACAGAGAGAAAAGTACTCAGTTAAATGCAGGCGAGCTGCAGAAGTGAGCTGTTATTGTTTGAACTCATGCCTAAAAAATTAAAATTTTTTTAATGTAATTCCATTTTCTGTTTTATCGTTTTGTGTACGTTAATGTTATAGGTGTTAATAAAATGTTACTTAAAATTAACTTCTAATTGATGTTTTTTTAAGGATTAATACAATACTGCTTATCAAAATTAAAAGTTATTGAGAGAAATACAACTTAACTGTCATTTAATGAAAACAAAAGTAATATTGAACATATATTTGCCAGTTGATTTATTTCCAGATATTGAATTTAAAATAAAATTTGTATCTGTTATGTATGCACATGCATAGCACATGTTATACACACATACCTATGTTCGTACGTGCATAAATGAATACATACATTTCTGAATTCAGTTCCGATAACAGAATATAAAATTTTGTTAGCTGTCTTACTAAAAAAAAAACTGAATATTGATATGATAAAATAAGAAAAGTTTGAAAAAAATATAACAATGTTTTCCATCACTTAACAGCACTGCATCGGGAATTCTAAACATATGCTGCTATTCGGCTTTCAAAAATTTTGTGATTCTTGGTATTGAACTGTATGAGGTGTACATGTGAAGAAAACAATGCTCAATAAAACTTAGAAAAAAAAAAAAAAAAAAAAAGAAAAGAAAGAAAAAGAAAATAAGGGGTTAGCAGCAGTGACAGCAAGAGCTGGCTGGTTAGAGTGAAAACTTAGCGATAGCATAAAAACGTTAACAAACCCTTTTGGGCAGCAGTTAAAATCTAAAACTTTTCAGACTTTTTCTTTCTTTCCCCCCTTTTTTGGAGGGGGGATAGTGCTGTAAATTTGTTGGAGGGCAACCAAGGAAATTTTCTGCATAGAGGCCCAAGAGTTCTAGTTATGCCACTGACCCTGATGGATTATTACTATTTCTTTTAATATAAAATAAAATTAGTCACAGAAATTACTCATGAAGTATACAAAAGAACAATAAACTTATATACAGTAACTATTTTTTTTTTATTAATGTTACTGTAGTTGTTGAACACTATACACTAACCTACATATTGTTAGGCTACATTGTGTTTGTAATAGTTAGCAGTTGCTCACCTAAATTAATTCGATGGCTCCTAAAAAAAATATGCACTACAATAAATTGCCTTTTCACAATATTTAAATAAACTAGAATAAATTAAAAACCTTTACGTAAACTAACAACATAAGTTTAACCGGTCTAAAAATTGGACTTATGTTATGCACCTGCCATGTCTTTTGATCTATTGGCCATCAGCTGCTATGCAGTGTGTGTGTGTGTTTGCCCTTTATATACTATTCTTATAACTACTAAAGTTTACAATTAAAAAACTGACTATAACTAGTAAAGTTTACAATTAAAAAATTGACTATAACTAGTAAAGTTTACAATTAAAAAATTGACTATAACTAGTAAAGTTTACAATTAAAAAACTGACCAAAGTGTGTGACAAGTGCATAAGAGAAAAGTACCAAAAAACTGGAGTTCAGACATCTGGAGACTAAATAATTTGAGTTGCTCTATAGCTTTATTTATATATAAAGTAATTACTGTAAGACTCATTTCTGTTGCAGAAAAAATGGGAGATTAAATCACACATTTCTTACTTGATAGACTAACAGTCTTTAGCTTAGTAGCAAACAGTCAATTTGTAATGGTTGGTTTGGTTTATTTAATTATTGCAAAAGTCTCAAAGGTTGATTGCCTAAGAGATGCTTTCATGGAGAATTTTCTAAAGGAAATTGATTCGTATACATGTTACACATAGGAAAATAATTAAAACGCGCACGCAAATAACCCATTTGCCAAGGTTTGAACCCACACCGAAGTACCACTATTCAGTGACATTACCACTTAGCTGCTGGTGGGCTATCAATTTATAATGATTTTAGACAAACGATATGCTCATAAAGCACTAAAATCCATTATTTATTAATTTCAAAATAAGTGGCAGAGAAACATTTCTATTTCCACAAATGCTGTTCAGAGCCATAAATTGTTTCTCTTTATTGCACTTTTCAAATTTCAAGATTTCACTTTTTTAATAAAGTAATTACAAATGTAATAAAACACACAAAAAATGTTTCCAGTATAATTATACCTTTGAATTTATTTTTAACTGTTACCTATTATTGCTGCAAAAAAAAAGTACAGTAAAAAATCTTTAATCTGGACTCGTCGGGACTTCGGCGATTCCGGATTATCGGTTTTTCCAGATTATAGATCATCAATTTAAATCTGGTAAGATGGCATGCAGAAATTATAAAATTAAAAATATGAAACCGTAATTTATGAAATAAAGAGCAATTATGATCTAAAGGGTATCAAAATTTACAAAAAAAAAAAAAAAAAAAAGCTTAATATTTGTTTACTTTATTAAACATTTCTTTCAACGCGCATGCATAAAGCATACATTACGCATAGTCGAAATTAGAAAATTGCAACCAGAAAACTATTTGATGGGTATTTGTGATATTTATAATGACAAGGAATTTGATTTAAATCATATCAAAGACGGAGTACATTGAGATAAAATACTACATTTACTAAGGACTTATAAGCTGAATAAAATAAAAACATCTGCCCTGAAGATAAGGATAGTGCTGACAGGTCAACTTCCAGTTAATTGCGCCCTGCGATGTCCCCCCCCTGCAGAGCAGCGTGAAATTGATAAACAGATTTCGGAATGGTTAGAAAAACAAAGGATATGCTTTTATCCATTTTTTGCAGCAATTCCACTTTTTGTTTGATGGACATCGAAACATGCTTTTGCTTTGTAGATAGATAGATCCTTTGGCAGCTCCAGAATCGGAAATTCTATTTGACATAATCGAAAGTACAAGGTTACTTTTATAAAATTTCTCTAACACTCTACAAAAAATAATAAGCTGGATCAAATTCGAAGATTAAGGAACAATGCAATCTGCAACATTAACTGAAATAGATAATTAGAGCTTAGCTTATACCGTCTGTTATACATTAAACGCGAATGCGTAAACGTATTATGCGATTGCACACAAGCGGATGCGCATGCGTAAACGCCTATGCACATGCGTGATCGCATAATTCGTTGACGCATGCGCAGAAAGTTTGTAGTAGTTTGAGGTCCGGTTATAGATCATTACAGATTATGGGTGTCCAGATCAACGACTTTTGACTGTATAAATTTAATGAAAAGAATAATGTTATAGAATAAAATATTAGAACTTAAAAAATTATATAAGCTATTTTTTAATCATAAATTTTTAATCCAATAAAAATGCAAAACATCATTACCTCTCAATTCTAAAACACATGCCTGCGTAAAATTAACCTTTTTCAATTCAGCAGCTAAGTGACACTTGTCTGGTATCAAATACATTTTTGTAAAAGTGGTGTTAGTGGTGTTTTGAAAACGTGGCACCAAAACTTTAAATAGTTTGTGGAGCATCTGCTTGTCCTGAAAATAAAACAAAAATAATTAAACTATTATATTACATTATATCATCAGCAGTGTTTCTTGAAGTAATTTTATCATTCAACTTAATAATGAAATTTGATAATATAATGGAACTCTATCTTGAATTTTAAAATTTAAGAATTAATTAAAATAAAGTGAACAACTTACAAATTTTAAGTAATTAAAAGGCTTAAGAATGGCATTACATTAAAGCAACAAATAAATGCAAAACTGCTTTAATGAGAGAAATTTTTAGGCACTTTTTTAGTTACAATACCCAGACATAGTTCATTTACAAAACAGAAGTAAAGATTGTAAGGAAAGAAGACATATTCTTATTTTAAATGCACTTTTTGATACTACAGTGAGAGAGAAATAAAAGCTTAACACACTAGTGGTGAAAATGTCTAAAACTATCATTGATTGAAAAAATTTTAAAGCATTAGGTGAAAAAATGTTACGTTTTAAGAACAGTTCTTTTATCAAGATAGTTTTAATGACTATTCGTAATATATAAAAGTAGGATAACATACAACTATAGTTAGTAATACACTGAACAAATAAATTATGATTCACTTAGTTAATAGCATCATGCTGGTCTACTTTTCACTCAGCATGGCCTTTACATTGATTCAATTAAGTGTTTGAATTAAGTTGGTAACCTTTCTTCATGCCTTCCATAATTGCCTTTTGCAAATCTTTCAATCTGTGGTAATTCAAGAATTTGGATACAGCATTCCTATTTATTCCATAAATTCTCAACGAGATTAATATCTGGAAAGCTGGGATGCCACATCAATATTGCAAACTTACTCAGAGTGCTCCTGCAATCCACTTGTGTATTTAGTAAGAGATATGGGAGGTATTATGTTAAAAGGTGCATCATTATTCAGAAAGGTGGATATAAATATCACATGTTAACGTTTTGGCAGTTTCAAGATTAAGCAATTCTTTCCTCCCAAATATGCAAGATAACTAACTGTCAGAAAGATGGCATTTGTTTTCTCCCTAGATACTTTGTTCACTATCAATCTCTACGGGATAAAAGGAGAGCCATTTTTGGAAGGGGGAAATATGCATGTATCTTAGAAAGTTTTAAACTGATTTTTAAAGAAAATAATAAAAAAAATTATATTTTTTGCCATTACATTTTTCACATGTTATTAATCTGCATTTATTGAAATTTAAAATGCAACAAGAGAAGTTTGATAATTTACAAACCAATGAGGCAAATAATATAAGAATTTGATATATATATATATATTGGCACTGCTAAATTCTTCTTCTATACTTGAATCATCTTCTGTACTTTCAAACCAGATTATCCAAATCATTTTCATTATCTGACAGAAGACTTTTACCATCAGTATCAGATTCCTCAATAAAAATTCCTCCAAATTGCTACACATTTGACAACTTCTTGCCAAATCCAGTGTTCGCTTTATGCAGTGAAGCTACAGTTGAAATTGATATTTCATCATACTGTAAAATGTAGGGCATGTTATTCATTAATTCTTAATTTATGTGAAATATTTCACTATTATCTAAATGCGACAAATACCAATTTGATGATATTTAAAACTTGAAACCGGAAGAGCCAACAATGCATTCCTTGCAGTTTTCCCCAAGACCATTCACTTAGTTAAAAGTAACATATATATATTTGGAAAATCTAGTAGTAAGTTATTTTCTTTTAATTTTTAAGAGTTTATGCGGCTTGTTGCTACCAAAACAGTGAACGAGGGGAAAATTTTTATTTTTTTTTAAGAAGTTAATTTGATTTTAATTTGCAATATAATAACTCTGACAATATTTTATAGCATACATTATGAAATTACCAAAACAGTGAACGAGGGGAAAATTTTTATTTTTATTTTTAAAGATGTTAATTTGATTTTAATTTGCGATATAATAACTCTAACAATATTTTATAGCATTCATTATGAAAATTATATCCTGCATTAATTGTCTAAGACACACACATTTCCAGTTAGTCTCAGAAAATTACTCTCCTACAGTACGTTTTATCTTATCTTTCTGGCTACTGTTTAAAATCAAAAATAAAATGAATAAAAAGACTTGAAATTGAGATCTTCAGATTGCAGTCTACTAAAGAGCTTACCATTAAACATTTCAAGGTATTAGAAAAATATTAAAGTTTTAAAATTGTGAAACAAAAATTAAGAATGAAATGATTATGTACCAATTAATTCCACTAATCAACTAAAATTATAACATTAGAAATGTCTTATATTAGTTACAACAAAGTGCAAATATTTATAAGAACTAAAAAAGTATAAAAAAAAAAATTAAATTCTTAAAAAGTGCATTTATTGCTTTTAAAACATTTACCGTATTAAGTGACAGTTTGCTTATATTTTAAAATTAAGTTTTTATCCTTAATTATTTATTAATTTTAATATGAATAAAACGTCTATGCGTAATGGGGCGTGAAAAGTGGGTCTTTTGCTTCGCGCAAAGGAATACAGTCAAAAGTCTTTAATCCGGATTCCTCAAGACTTCGGCCATTCCGGATTATAGATCATCAATTTTAAATCTGTTAAGATGGCATACAGAAATTTTAGAATTAAAAATATGATGAACCGTAATTCATGAAATAAAGAGCAATTATGATCTAAACGGTATCAAAATTAAAAAAAAAAAAAAAAAAAAAAAAAAAAAAAAAAAAAAAAAAAAAGCTTAATATTATTTGTTTACTTTATCAAACATTTCTTTCAACGCGCACATGCATAAAGCATACATTACGCATAGTCGAAATTAGTTTCCTCCCCCTGCAGAGCAGCGTGAAATTGATAAACAGATTTCGGAATGGTTAGAGAAACAAAGGATATGCCTTTATCCATTTTTGCAGCAATTCCACTTTTTGTCTGATGGACATCGAAACATGCTTTCGCTTTATGGATCCTTTGGCAGCTCCAGAATCAGAAATTCTTTTTGACATAATCGAAAGTTCAAGCTTACTTTTATAAAATTGCTCTAACAGTCTGCAAAAAATAATAAGCCAGATGCAATTCGAAGATTAAGGAACAACGCAATCTGCAACATCAACTGAAATAGATAATTAGGTAATTTTAGCTTAGCTTATACCATCTATTATACATTAAACGCGCATGCGTAGAAAGTTTGTAGCTTTGAGGTCCGGATTATAGATTATTCCGGATTAAAGAACTGCACAGGAGTCCCTCAGTGTGTTGTATAAAAAAAGGTCCTTTACCATTACAAATTCCCCATGAAGCCATCTCTTCCTTTAGGCAGAAACTCTTGTTCCTTCTACCATAGTAATTTAATGTAACCAATACGGGTACTTCCGTATTGCTTAGGTTAGGTGATTTGAATATAGCAAAACACACAAGAGATATCCGACTAAGGGTTGAGATGCATTTCGTGGAGGACTTTCTAAAGGAAAAGAGCTTGTATTCATGTTACACATGGGCAAAAACACCAAAACTGACCATGAATACAGCCCGCTCTTTTGCGCTCAAATGATTCAGCAATTTAATCACTCGGCTACTGGTGCTGAATGGTTAGTTGCCACTGTTGCCAATTGGCAGTACTGGTGCCAAGTTCTATATTATATTTTCTAAGGGATTTGTTAGCTTGTATTTATAATGTTATTTATAACTGTTTATAGGTCTGCCTTCTTCTTCTTTTTTTTTTTTTTTTGCCTTGAAAACGGCTGTTGTATTTTTATAATTTGTGGGATTGGAAAGGGCTTTTTTTTAACTGAGGTATTCAATCCCGCAAAGATTATAACAAGTAACAATATCTTTATCGTATTTATTAAGAAAATGCCCTCCTATAATTGACAAAAACATTCATTACGATAATCTTAGCAGTACTGTTTATTCAGGTTTATGAGGTTTTCCAGCTTTATGAGGTTGAAAATTATACACATATGTCGAAGATGAAGCAGATACCATAACAACTGCTTTTTTCTCCTCCCGGTCAGTGAATGAATGAATGCCTTAATTGCTTTTCTGGTCAAGAATGGGCTGAGGTCGGGTTGCTGGAATTTGCAGTTTCGCCAATAATGCCAAAAAAGGGGATGTCTTCTTGCTGGTCATTGAATGATTGACATGATTTAGCAAATTTTTAAACAAAAAGCTGGATGCAACGCAATCTATCGTTTTACACATTTTTTCCCCTTCCTTTCTCTTTGTTCAACAGTATTCATATATCACAGCATAAATTTTACAATATTACTTCTTGAAGTGGTAGTACTATATTCTACGGCAGACGCATACACTTTCTACTACATCCAGTGTTCTCAACTTAGGTTGACCTGAAGTATAGCTACAGCACACATTCAAAACAAAGCAATAAAAATTCCTACACAAAACCACCAAATTCACCATTATTATCCAGAAAATTATCTAGTATGTCTACCACCATCTATACCAAATAAAATCAACTTATTTGCAAGTTAAACTTGTTTATATTGCTAAAAATCATTGGATTTGTAATGCGAGCTGTTTTCATTTGTGCCCACTACTGTGTATTTCACTGTGATAAGCATCAACAAGCTTAGCTCACCAGTCTTCATATCTCTAGAATCTACTGCTAATTTCCTGCCAGTATGTTTATGATTAAAAAAGGATTCCTGAATTTCACATACTATTACTTTTGCTCATATAATATGTGAAATGTTCAAACATTTGTTAATTGCTGAAATAAAAATCCAGCTTGTAAATACAATATAGGTAGAAGTCAAAAAACAAAAATCAGCATTATATTTGCAAATTTTCACAGGATTAGTTTCAATGATTTTACCAAACTTTGGCAACTGAGGATGATGGTTCGGTAAAAACCATCGAAACTAGTCCTGTGAAAATTTGCAAATATAATGTTGACTTTTTGTTGTTTGACTTCTAAATTAATACCTATCATTACACCAAGATCACAATTATTCAAATTGGTACAGTTAACCCATGAGAATTACATCTGTTGGCATCAGAATTTTTCTTTTACATTCAGTATGCATATCTTTTTGATTTTGCATTATTATTTAACAGGACAGAAATTCCAATATCATCAACATCATCGAAATACTTTATTCTACTGCTCTTTTAGAAAGTGCATGAGTAATTAATATCGTCTGTCGCTGTGGTTACATTCCTATCTCTCGTTATTTTTTTATTTTATTTTATTTTTTTTTTAATATTACAAATGCTTTGAATATTTTTTAATATCATGACACCATCTGGCAGCAGACTGTGGAAAATTGCTAACATTCGGGCATCCTGACTAAAAAGTTGCCCTCAATTGTCGCTTTTTTTTTTTTTACACAAACATTGTTGGCAATACCCCAAAAATCTACATTTTGTGCGCACTATAATCACACTATAACAAGAGTTCTTAATGAATTTTTTCCAGTAAAGTTCTCTGTAGGTTGGGGAAAAGAAAAAAAAATAAAAGTTTATATTACATGTAGCTTCACGAGTTAATATCCAAGTTACCTGGTTTGTCTTCACCCAACTCATCTAGGTTACTAGCATGCCAAGACTTCAGCTGACTCATGTGGGTTGTTGTTGTATACAGTCTAACACGTTCTTTTTTTTTCTCTTCTTATAGTAGTACTTCTTCATCTTATTTGCCATCCACTCTTTTACTTCTTTCAGCATTAATGAGGCAAAAACTTTCAGTACTCTTTCTTTATTCTCAGCTTGAGTAATATGACTTTTCCTTGGCATTTGATGTTTTATTTCTCGGTGCGTGGTTTCCAAATAAGACAACATTTGATTTGCAGGGACTTATTTTCACTCCTTTGGGCTGAAAACACAAATTCTTCTTTTACTTGCAAATTCCTCAGATTTCCTTTCTGGTAATTTTCTTCCATCCATAGAGTTTAAACCTGCTTTATCAGAAGACCTTTTTTTCATATTCTTTCCTATCTGAATCATTTTTGGAAGATTTTTCACTGCTGCCAGATAAAACTTGTATAACTGTAGTTTCAGAATTAATTCGTTTTGGTTTAATAAATCGACAACAGAATTTGTACTAAGCTATTCTTTTTACCTCATTCAATATGAAACCTTAAAAATAACACTGGGGTTACTCATTTAAATTGTAAGAGCACTTTATAGCTTTGTGTTTATCATTGAAATTCTTGGTGTATGTGAGTGTTATCATATAACTAGCTATAATATTTAATTTAGATGTTCTATGATGTTGGCAACATTAAAATTGTCATGTTTACATGCTAGAGGCATGAGAATCTTTTCAAACTAAGTCTCTAAATTGAAATGATTGGTTTAAGTCAGTTTATTTGAAAATGAAACTAAGAAATTGATTGTTTGCATATATTTCTAATACAATAATGGTAACTGAAAATCTAGTTACAAATATTTTATGATAAAATCCATGTATCTGAAACTGCAAGTCCGCCCCTTCTGCGATTTACTATACACTTTCCTTTATATCATTCTATTAAAACCTGTTTTTTCAGTTCTTACTTTTCCTCATTTTTAAGCTGTTAAAATTTTAAATGAAATTTTCCTGCAAGTAACTGATGTTTTGATGGAAAAAAAAAGTGCTTTTTTCACATGTGTAATTTTCTTACTTTATGAAAGAAATATTTCTGCACATGTTTTACAAAACGAATTCAAGAACATCTTATCAAAATTAATTTTTAAACATTTAATACTTGCAAAATATAAATTTATTAGTGATGAAAGCATAAATGAATGAGTGCATGATACTTAATTAATCACACTATGTAAGAGAAACATCTACAAAAGTCGACTATTTTTTTACCAATTTTTTCCCCTTAAACTACCACTTTTTAAAACTTTCTAAATCAGGCATAAATAATATGGTCACAGAAATAAAATGACTATATCAGAATCTATAAAGCAATTAATATCTGATCACAGAAAGCATCATTTATATTATGTGATAATGAATTTCGATCATGTGGTTAAAAGGTTTGAGTTCAGACGGTAGTTATGACTTCACAACAGATATTATATAGCCATTTCTACTGTTTCTTGCTTCCATGTTTCAGCATACTGAATATATAACTCACCACCTGCTACTAAATCAAATCTTTAATCTCCATTAACCAGGTGGCCCAAATTAACAAAGTTAAAATATAAATGAAAATACTGTAGTTATGATTAGAAAATCAGATAATAAATATTCAGAATTTGACCTTACCTCCAGCCAGAAATTAGCCATATCCATTGTAGGAGGATGTTTATCTCCATGTCTAATAGCTTCAGTAATTAACTATAGTAAAAAATGACAGAAAAATTATTATCCGTAATATTTTATACAGATACATGTAAATTTGAAAAAAAGCATATTAAAGTTCCTTAACTGTTCAGATACAGTATTTCTGAATGCACAGTTTTTTAGAACTAAATAATTTAAACCAAATACTAATTCAATTGTTTTAACACATATGTGCATATATGAATATATTAAAATCCCCTTTGAAAAGAAATCCAGTTTTCTAAATATTAAGCCCATTTGCTACAAAATAGATCAAACATACAACAAAGGAATATGAACCAATTCATAGATAATAATCTCTACAGGTGAAGAGTTGAAAAAATTCTTTGAATTATTCACTGAAATTTTGGTTTTCTAGTTATTGCATGTTCTTGCATTACCACTTTATTCCACACTTATTATTTTATTGCCTCACTATTTTAATTAAGAATATGAAACAAATTTTAATTTGTTCAGAGAAGTTTTTAAGCAATACGACGGGTAACAGCGTAATTGAAAATGATTATCATAGTGTAGTGACCTTCAAATTGTGTTCTACAGAACTCGCAAGTAACTACTTCGGATTATGCAAGACAAAAATCAAAAGAACATTTTAATACTATGTGGACTGCAGAGCTAAATGCTTAAGATACAAAAATAATACAGTCAAAAGTCTTTAATCCGGACTCGTCGGGACTTCGGCGATTCCGGATTATCGATCATCAGTTTAAATCTGGTAAGATGGCATGCAGAAATTATAAAATTAAAAATATGAAACCACAATTTATGAAATAAAGAACAATTACAATCTAAAGGGTACCAACAATTTACAACAAAAAAAAAAAAAAAAAAGCTTAACATTTATGTGTTTACTTTATTAAACATTTCTTTCAATGTAAGTTATTTAACTTGCTTCGCTTTATGTGATCATACTTTCTCTTTAATTCTATAAACAGACATAATTTCTTGTTCAGTTACAAAGTTCCGCTGTTCAAGTCCTATAATTGCTGTGTCGAGAATACCGACTAATTTGTCAATCGAAATTTTTTCGTTTTCAATAACCTCTGTGTCACTTTCTTCACTATTGGAAGCGAATTATAATGACAAGGAATTTGATTTAAATTATATCAAAGACGGAGTATATTGAGATGAAATACTACATTTAGTAAGGAATTATAAGCCAAATAAAATAAAAACATCTGCCCTGAATGTAAGGATAGTGCTGACAGATCAACTTCCAATTCATTGCGTGCTGCGACGTCCCCCCCGTCCCCCCCCCCCCCCCCGCAGAGCAGCGTGAAATTGATAAACAGATTTCGGAATAGTTAAGAGAAACAAAGGATATGCCTTTATCCATTTTTTGCAGCAATTCCACTTTTTGTTTGATGGACATTGAAATATACTTTTGCTTTGTAGATCCTTTGGCAGCTCCAGCATCGGAAATTCTATTTGATTTAATCGAAAGTTCAAGCTTACTTTTATAAAATTGCTCTAACAGTCTGCAAAAAATAATAAGCTGGATCCAATTCGAAGATTAAGGAACAACGCAATCTGCAACATTAACTAAAATAGATAATTAGATAATTTTAGCTTAGCTTATACCGTCCATTTTACATTAAACGTGCATGCTTAAACGTATTAGGCACATATGTAAAAGTATTACGCGCATGTTTAAATGCCTGTGCACATGCGTGAACGCATTTTGCGTTGACACATGCACGGAAAGTTTGTAGCTTTGAGGTCCGGATTATAGATCATTCCGGATTAACGACTTTTGATTGTACTTTCTAATTACGTGCACACTCAATTTAAAATTCAACAAAACTGTCATATATTTTTGTAAACAGGCGGCAATATGCTATTTTGCATATGCATACCAAACATATATTTGAGTACACTTTGTACAGTCAAAAGTCGTTAATTCGGACACCCATAATCCGGAATGATCTATAATCCGGACATCAAAGCTACAATCTTTCTGCGCATGCGTCGCGTTGACGCATGCGCGTAAGACCTTTACCGCTGCAAATTTGCGTGTGCGCGTGCGCAAAATACGTTTACGAATGCGCGTTTAATGTGTAACGGACGGGATAAGCTAAGCTAAAATAATCTAATTATCTATTTCAGTTAATGTTGCAGATTGCGTTGTTCCTTAATCTTCGAATTGGATCCGGCTTATTATTTTTTTGCAGACTGTTAGAGCAATTTTATAAAAGTAAGCTTGAACTTTCGATTATGTCAAATAGAATTTCCTATATATATTTTTACTATGTAAAGGATATACAAAGCGAAAGTATCTTTCGGAATCCATTAAAACAAAAAAATGGAATTGCTGCAAAAAATGGATAAAGGCATATTCTTTGTTTATATAAACTTTAACGTTTGTTTATCTAAACTTTGTTTATCTTTAACGCCGCAGCCGCGTGCAATGAATTGGAAGTTGATTTGTCAGCACTATCCTTATCTTAAGGGCAGATGTTTTTATTTTATTTGGCTTATAATTGATTACTCAATGTAGTATTTCATCTCGATGTACTCCGTCTTTGATATGATTTAAATCAAATGCCTCGTCATTATAATTCGCTTCTGATAGCGAAGAAGAAAGTGACATAGGTTATTGAAAACAAAAAAATTTCGATTGACAAATTGGTCGGTATTCTCGACACAGCAATTATAGGACTTGAACAGCGGAACTTTGTAACTAAAGAAATTATGTCTGTTTAATAAAACTAAAGAGAAAATATTATCGCATAAAAAACGAAGCAACTGAAACAACTTACATTGAAGGAAATGTTTAATAAAGTAAACAAATAAATATTAAGCTTTTTTTTTTTGTAAATTTTGATACCCTTTAGATCATAATTGTTCTTTATTTCGTAAATTACGGTTTCATATTTTTACTTTTATAATTTCTGCATGCCATTTTACCAGATTTAAACTGATGATCTATAATCCGGAAAAATCGATAATCCGGAATCGCCGAAGTCCCGACGAGTCCGGATTAACGACTTTTGGACTGTATTTACACACTTTATTTAATCAACATAAAAAAGTTTCTTTCTTTTTACGATGCTTCTTTACACTTGTATTATTGTTTATGAGCAACAGGGCATAAGCTGTAAAAGCAGCCAAACACTTTTCACCAATTTATAAAGCCATCAATGAGTTGTGACCTTCTGTGGGTTGCAGATAATCAGAACGTACCAATTTTTTTATTTCCTAAAATATGAACTAGACCTGATTTTATAGATAGAAATGTGATGAAATAATTTTTTTAAAACATAAAATGTAGGCTTAGATTGATATATTTTCAATGCTTTTCTAAGGATACTAAGGATTCCATAAAATAATAAGGTATGCTTTCCCTGAGGTAATAAAATCTGAAGATCTATGAAAGATCGAAAGCAGCCATGGAAAGGTGAGGTAAAACAATTTCACATGTAAACTTGAAAAAACAAAATATCTGAACAAAAAATTTCACACTAACAAATAAGTTTCCAAAAATACATAGCACTGAAATTAACCAAGAATTTAAATAATGCAAAAAATGATAAATTTTGAAGAGTTTGTTGGAGTTTGTTTATTCGATGAAAAATATCTGCAAGTGAAATATGCTAAAATGCATATTGATTAAATTAAGATAAAAATTCATATATACATGTGACTGAAAGGCAGATATGATTCAGTTCTCACAATTTTTTTTTTTTTTTTTAAATTAAGATGTTTGCAAAAGATTTATGGATAACAGATATTTTCTTGATATAAGAAATAGTATTGGCAGAAATACTTAGCAGAATTGTATGTTATAAGTACTTTCCTTTGATCATGCATATAAAGAAAAAATGCTCAATCTATTATAAATAAACAGACATACAAAATTTGACGTCTCCATGCTAGTGTTCATGCTTGATGACATAGCATGTATACTTTTAAGTTATAAGCATGGAATGAAGGCCCTATAGCAGGGTTTTCCTAAACTTTTTTCAGTCACGACCAATCAGGACCCCATAATATTTTTAAAAAATTTTGTGGGACCACATACGTATTGTGCAAATCCTACACACACATGAGCAAAACACTCAATTTTTTCACTCGTATTGTAATATACTATTGCAGTTTTACGTCATTAACTTTAATTTCGGTACAATTCTGATATACGCCTAATTTCACCAAATGTGGCGATATGTGTTCTGTGGTGGTTTTAGGCGCGATTGCGTGTTGTATGGCAACCCTGCCGAGGTTGAAAAATCTTTCGCTGGAGCTCGTTGGTTTGCGTTATGCTCTGTGTCTGAGAAGACAGGAGGGAAAGATAAAATGGTGGAAGTTGTTGAATTGAAGTTCGGCAAAAGGAAATATCATCGTGGGCCATCCTGTTGAGGGGCAGTGGGTATTTGGAGGTGTGGATAGAGGGTCTCGGAGATTATTTTTAGTGGCTGTGCATGATAGAAGTAGGGATTTGTGATTTTATTTATTTGTGAACCATAGTATGAATTTTCTGGATAGTGTGTCTGGCTGTCATGTAAATACGATAGTGATTATGTGGCGGTATGTTAAAGGTGGTATGAGATTGGTATTTCTGCTGTTCGAAAAAGCATTAGTTCATGGTAAGTGCATTTTATTTTATTCTTGTTCTTATTTTGTTATTTGTTCATTGTTTTTTTACTATGAATTTCTGTTGTTATTTTGAATGGTTTGAAATTTATTTTAGTTTATTTTGTTGATTAGTGCATACTGTCTGGATTATGCAATTCATAGATGTTTTTTAAAGTTGAAACAGAATGCTGTGTACCTGGTATTCTTTGAAATTTATTGTTGTTAATTTATTAAAGCGAGGTGTGCGTAGTTCGTAGATTCATTCATTACCTAGATTGTGCCATTTGTAGATTTTTTTTATGTTAAAACACATCGCTGTGTACATGGATTCTTGTAAAATATTTTTGGTTAGAAACTTGACATTTTTGCTATCTAAATTTTTTGTTTTTGTTTCAGATTTTTAGCTTAAATTGTGCACTCAAAACGTGGTTTTTGCATGTGCGAAAACTGCATTTTTGGAGACATTTTAGACTTCAAGTTCGAAATGTAGACAAAAAATTCAGATAGTGATGATATGGCAGCGTCGAGTTTCTCACCAAAAATTTTTGGCGAGAAATTTGGCGACTTGAGGGTGCATATAAGAGTAGTTCCTTAATTTCTAATTTTAAGACATAGAACAAAGAGAAAATTTTAAATAAATAACAGATGAAATGACAGCATCATGTGCTAAAGCAAGGAAAATGAACGTTTATATTAGAAAAAGAATGCATTGAAACATTTTCGTGTTTGTCTATGTTTGTATTGTCTTATCTTTATCTAGTTTCAGATACATTGTGTAAAAATATTTGGTAACTGCAAAATTTTATAAAAATTTAAAGAAATATCAAAACTGCTAAAATTTTTGGCGACCCCCCCTGCTGCAGGTCCGACAACCTCCTTGGAGGTTGTGACCCATAGTTTAAGAAATCCTGCTCTATAGAAACGTTTCCCAAAGTGTGAGGGGGCCAATGTGAGGTTACTCTGAACCTTCTTTATTTATAGTAAATGGCAGCTCAACACAAACCAGTCTGTATATTTTGGCCATGTTTAGCTTTTTAAGACCCTCATTTTTCAAAGAAATCTTCCAGATTTTTTTAGGGTATAAAAGAAATTGTTTGAAAAGAAATTTCTATGTTTTTGGCTGTATGCTAATCTCCTTATTCTATGTTAGTTTTAAATTTTTACCTTGAAATCGTGCCCAAAATCAAACAGCGAAACCTAGGTGTGCCCAGACCGGGCTCACTGATAATCTACGACAACTGAGAGTCTGTATTCTGTGTTGCTCCACATCTCATCGGTCAGTTCATTGACAACAATACTCGTTTTAGCATTCTTTTCGAAGTTTTGTTCAATCAGTGTGCCACTTTGGGCACACCCACAGAATTAATAAAACGATAAGTGCTATCTTTATAAAATTTTACTTGTGTATTCCTCTAGGCCTAATTAAACTGCCTACCTTTTTTTTTTAAATCAAAACTCCAACTTTAAAAGGTAGCCTGCGGGAAAGGGTTAAGGGTACAAGGAACGTTTAAGTTTCCAAATTTTCTTCAACAAGTTGCAATTTTTCGAAATTTCATTTTGTATTCTCCAAAATAAAGAATAATGTAAGTGATCTATACATAAAACATTTTTTTAATTTTGGTGCAAGAGAACTATTGTTACTATTTCCACCTTCATATTTAGCTGAATGCAGATTTCATGCAATAAATGATTAGCTGCTATAAAAGAAAGAAAAAAAATCGATGGGATATAATAGTTTGGAGAGACTTGAGAACTAAAGTTAACTAAATGGAGCCTGACATAAAATCTCTTTGCAGCAAGCATCAAGCAAAAGGATCTCACTAAATGTAAATAATAAATAATCACTAATACTTAAAATAATATAGAAAAAAACTAAAATTATTTTGCACTTGGAATTTCAGTTCTTCATTATATATGTTTTGAAAGTTTACTCACAAGATTTCCTAGTGATTTCTTCCTAAAAAACCTATCATTTAAGTTTCTTTCGTGAGCATTTCACTTCTTGAATATTAAAAATTATTAATATGCGAGGGGTAGCATAAGAATTTTTAGAGAGGTTTAGGTGGGGCATAGCACAAAGAAATGTTGGGAAACACTGCCTTTATAGATTCCGTTCCATGTTGTACACTTAAAAATTCTTGAAAGGATTACATTTTCAAATACAACTCAGCTTTCTAATTATGAAGTGCATTCCATATATATTTCCGCTAGTGATTTATAAATATAAGACATGCCTTCAGTAAGAACACTGAGACATTTCATCTAAAATGATCTTCCAGAACACAATGGATACCTCTGACTCAAGTAAACTGATATTTCTCTCCCACCCCAATCTTTTCTTAACGGTTTTAATAAATATACAAATTGCAGCCTTTAAGGACACATTTTATTGTATATTTCAACTATGCTTTATTTATATTTTCTTTATTTTATTATTACAATGATTATTTATTATGATTTAAAGCTATTTACCATGTTATCAGAGCACTTACATTCATCACTGTCATGGTTCTAATCTAAATCTCTCTAAACATAAAACTTGCACTTTTTCCTGAAATTTTATGCACTGCACATTTAAGTAGTTTCAGGTAAAAATCATGTGAGCTTACCCTCACTTTGAAGATACAAACTTCTAATAGCAATCAATCTGACCCTGCAAAGTCGGTTCTCTTACAAAGGTTCGACTGCACAAATGGACGGAATAATTCATTAACTAATATTCTGATAAGATATTATTATGAAAAATAATAGAGATAAAAAGTTTACAATTGAGTTCCCCTTGTGTTTTTTGGCGATTCTTTTTTGACACCAAGGCACAATTTCAAGACGGCTGAAACACAAAACTAAAATAAAAAGTCAAAGAATAGCACACTGATCTATTTTCACTTAAAAAAAAAATCAGAGTTAAAAAAACTCGGCATTTCACACTGTCTTTGTTTACGTACATATCGATCTATTCTCACTTAAAAAAAAATCAGGAAGCTAAAACCAAGTTGAAACCATCATGTTAATAGAAATGCGGTTTCATCACCAAAACTGAACAAAATGTTTTGTCAATCAAAGGGGCACCCAATTCTACACTAGAGCATAAAGTAACACAAAACCTTGGATACTTTTTAGTAACTACTATCAAAACATACATCGAATTATTTCCACTGCAATACTTATAAAAAGTCACACTTTAGAATGCTTCTATGCCTTCTAATATACTTTACTCAGCCCATAGTTACATTCCCTCATTCTGAGGATCCTTGGAGTACATTACTTACTTTGATTAAGGCAAGGCCAACTCATACTCAACTTATACTAAGGTATAAGTTGGCTTTGATTAAGGGAACTAAGAAATAACATAGTTAATGATGAAAATAAAATAATTTCTTTGGGGAGGGGGTTGTTCTTTTAGGAAAACAGTAGTAATTTGTACAGTATCTATTGTTGACATTTAAATTTTAACTACTTCACGTAACATATACATTTCGATAGTCAAATGAATCTAATACAAGTTATGCAAAAGATTATAAAACCATGGATATTAATAAATCTTTTATGCATGATAAAGTCTATTTAAAATTGTGCCTACAGCGCATTTCATACATTTAGACGGGTTTACAACAGCTTTCGAATCTAATGTAAACTGGGATGCAATTTTTTAAGATAATAAAAGCTAAATTATCCTACATATATAAAATGTCTAAAAAAATGCGAATTTGAGTACCCTTTCCACATATCCACGAACTTCATCACATCGAGGAAGAAATAGTTCGATTCTTTCATATTTAAATAATGCAGTTAGAGTTTTTTTTAATTTATTTATTCTTCCTAACGGTCCATCAATATTTTTAAGATTTCTATGTCGAGGTTTTACATTATATTTAACTCTGGGTACCAACTTCGCTATTTCCGCCATCACAAATTGAAAACAAACTTCTGGAACAGACAGACAGACAAAGTAGATGTCTTTTATTGCACCCGCTAAGTCTTCGCTCCGAAGTAATAAGGCTCCTCTAAACCTCTCTAAAAGGGAACGCGCTGCCAATTTTGGCGCGTTTCTCACACACACTGGCTGAATGTCTGCTGTTTTTTTAAAGATTCATTCATAAAGGCATTCAGCGCATATAAACTTTACTCCGATGGGAGCCTTTCTCCGATGGGTCGCTGCACCGATGGGTGAAAAATTAAGCATAGGTGCGAAGGAAAGGAACTTCGTACGAGTTCGAAAGGCCAGGAAGAAAAGATGGGACAAAATAAAATAAAAAAGTAAATGGCCCAAAAGGTAATGGAGAGAAAAAATATATTAATAATTTTTAAAAAAGGGGGCCTATAGAAAGAAAAGGAAAGGAAGTAAGAGAATTTTCTATGAGTGTAGTCAAATTAAATAGAGGTGTGTATAATGAGTGTGTTTAGTAAAGCTGAATAGATGTGAAGGTGGGGGGAAATCAATTATAAAATATAAATATTGGGGTCATATAAGTCTAGTATAAGTCTAGTTTAGAAGCCAACTTTTGCTATGACAGGAAAAGTAAAATTAAAAAATTTTAAATTAATTTTTTTAACATGAGAGACATAGTAACAAAAGACACGTAAGATCAAAATATATATAATATTAGGCAAAATTATATATTAACTAAAGTAACATCATCTGTTGCTGTTTCCAACATATTCATACACTGGTGTGCAAAACTTCAGCAACATTTTGGCCATAACTCCACAAATAATCATCTGAGAGAATTCATCAGAAATGAGAGACAGCATTTTGTATTTAAACGATGACAAAAGATGGAATCAAACAAACAAACAAAAAAAAAGGCTTTATTGAACTCATAGTATCGTTACACATGATTGTCTGGAAGATAAAAAAAAAAAAAAAAAAAAAAAAACAAAAAAAAAAAAAAAAAAAAAAAAACAAAAAAAAAAAAAAAAAAAAAAAGAAAAAAAAAAAAAAAACAAAAAAAGTTCAAAAAAAAAAAAAAAAAAAAAAACCCCCCCCCCCCCCCCCCCCCCCCCCCCCCGCAAACCGTCGCTTCATACCCAACACACTGGCTATTATACCCAACACATACCCAACACACTGGCCATTCATACCCAACACACTGGCCATATTGTCTAACTAATCATGAGGTAAGAGTGTCAATTTTTCAATCAGCGTCTGTTCAGTTGTTGGGTGTTCCCCCGGAGGATGTAATCGGGCCACAAGGCGTCTTCCTAAAGCATCACACACATGTTCTATGGGATTTAAATCAGGGGAGTAAGGTAGCCAATCCATTACAGTGATATCTTCACTTTCCAGCATTTTCTGAAAAACAGGAGTCCGGTGTGGCTGTGTATTGTCATCCATAAAAACGAAATCTGCTCCAATGGCACCTCGGAACAGACGCACATGGGGAAGGATTACCTCCTAACAATAGCGATCTCCGGTTACAGAACCTCTGTCGAAAACGTGGAGCTCTGTCCGCCCGTGCAGCATAATGCTTCTCCAGACGAGAACTCCAGGACCACTGTAACGGTCTCTTTCCATGATGTTGCTGGGATGAAACCGCGTCCCACCTCTCTCCAAATCAACTGGCGTTGAGAATCTCTTGTAGCACGAAAACGACTCTCATCCGTAAAGAGGACAAAACTCCATTGATGAGATGTCCAAGTTTGTGCTCTTTGCATCACTCTAAACGGTGGCGCCGATGGCCAACTTTCAAACGGATGCAGCGTTTGAAACCTTCTGCAAAAGGCTACCTTCTGCGTCTGGATACGGAGACGTCTGGACACAGTTAACTGCGACACTTGTCGACTCGTTGCTGTTCACACTTGTTGAGCTATGGCGCTTGCTGACTGGTTTCGGGCTCCTTTTGCCTTCAGGACGATATATCGGTCATCCGCAGCAGTTGCTTTCCTGCGGGTGGCAACCACCAACCTTTCTAAAATCTGTATCTATTGTTTGTAAGGCTTTCCAAGTGCGCAAAACGACACTTTCGTTGATTCCGAACTCTTGAGCTACACTGGTGACACTATGCTCCTCCTCCAGCTTTCCGATTCTTCCACGTGCGAAGTCATTCACGTGATTTCTTCTAGCTGTATTTCACGAAAGAACTCACTTGTACTTGCATCGAATGTCTTTAATTGCGTCCCCGTTTTTCCTTTTATTGTAGTCTCGAGTTCAGTGCGCCGACTGCACGTGTTTTGTGTACACTCACGTCGCCTGTGACGTTTTGTTCCTGACATTTGCATACGCATGACCTTTCTACTGAATTGCGTATTCATTGTACTGATCGAAAGAATCCCTTTTCTGCAATTTTATGGCTACGTTATTAAAATTTACATTGTTGCTTAAGTTTTGCACACCAGTGTATATTATTCAGAAAACAGCATCAGACAACATCATAAATCCAAACAGTGCAAGAACATATCAGCAAAATAAATTACAGAGTTTATTTATTTAATATTATAATTTTTATAAAAATAACATTTTATATTATAATTAACCGTCTAATTTATTATATTTGTACAGTCGGTCACAAAAGTATTCGAACCCCGGTACCCTATCAGAAAATGACAAGATGGCGTTTTCTCTCTCTCTGTCGTGTTATTACATTCTAGGTTTTCTTCTCCCCCCATCTTGGAAAAAACTGGAAAAATTGGTCACGATCTCTTTTTGAATGGGGAGATGCCATTTTGAGAAAAAGCTGACGACCCTATCTTGGAGAATGAACATGACCGCTCTACACCCCTCTCTCTCTCTTTGAATTGGGAAGCCGTTTTGGGAAAAAGCAGACGACCCTATCTTGGAGAATGGAAATGAACGCCTCTCTCCCTCTCTCTTTGAAATGGGAAAGCCATTTTGGGACCCTCTATTCTTGGGAGGGAGGGAGAAAACTGAAGTCTGCACTTCGCTGTCTCTGAATGCGGAAAGCCATTTTGGGAAAAGCGGACCTCTCTTCTGATCTTGGAGAGCTGGAAATGAACACTGTACACGATCTCTCTTTGAATTCAGAAGGTATTTCGGGACCCTCTAACCGTGGAGAATTGAAATGAACACTCTATACACACACTCTCTCTCTTTGAATTGGGTAGCCATTTTGGGAGCCCCCCTAACCTTGGAAAAACTGAAATGAACACTCTATACCCTCTATCTCTTTGAAATTGGTAGCCATTTTGGGACCCCTCTAAACTTGGAAAAAACTGAAATGAACGCTCTATACAATCTCTCTTTTCACATGGGCATATTATTATGAGGGTACACTTTTAGTTTTTAGAAACTATTTATTTACAATCTTAGAATGTATAATCACAGAGAACTCCAATACCAGCATAGTTCTATTTTCATATATGTATCCAAAGTGTTGCCAATTACAAGTTACTAAATATTAAATGTTACCATTTACAAATTATTAAATATTACATCTTCCGTTTTTTTAAAGAGTTCAAAAGTTTTAACCGTCTAAAATCAGTCCAAATACCTGGCCGGCTTTCCAATCACTCTTCCACTTCTAGTTCTTAGCTCACCGTTCCTTGTTTCTGAGTTAGCAGAGTTTAGTAGTTGATCTTCTAAACTTTGCCCTTGAGAATATCTGGAATCATATCCTTTTGCATCTGTTTTCTGTGTATTTACTCCTTGTTCTGTACCTCTGATATTCTCTTCAACAGCTGAACTGTTTTCTCTAATATCTTTTCTATTTCTTCTCAATACTGATCCACCTGATCTAAGTATATAGTATGATCTAGGCGTCTTATGCACTTTTTCTACAACTGTTAGTTTCCAGCAATTATCTTGATATACCCGAACACAATCTCCTTTATTTAGTAATGGTAATGTTTTTATATGACGATCATAATATGACTTCTGTTTAGTTCTTTCTTGGTTGATTTTTTCTTTTACATTTTTCAAAACTTGAGGTTTAAGTAATTCTTCAGATGTAGGAAGAATCCTTCTTGTTCTTCTACTCATAAGTCGTTGAGCTGGTGATCCTAGCATCTCATTAGTTGGAGTGTTCCTATGAGCTAACAATGCTAAATAAGGATCAGCATGATCTGCTTGAGCTTTCTTTAACAATTTCTTCGCCGTTTGTACTGAACGCTCTGCTAATCCGTTCGACTGTGGATGGTATGGACTGCTTGTTATATGTTTAAATTGGTATTTCTTTGCAAATTCTTTACTTGCAAATTGAGGTCCGTTATCAGATATCACTATCAATGGTATACCGTATCTTGCAAAATGAGATTTCATGTAACTGATCACTGTCTGACTTCGAGTATCCGGTAGTTTGGAGATTTAAAAAAAGTTGGAATAGTAATCTACAATTAATAAATATACATCTCTGTTAATCTCAAATAAATCTGTCGCAACTTTATACCAAGGTAAATTGGGAATTTCATGTGGTATCATAGGCTCTCTTATGTTTTTGTTCTGGTATTCATTATATATAGAACATTTTGAAATTTTATCTTCTATCTGCTTGTTCATAAGTGGCCAAAACAAAACATCTCTAGCTCTTTTCTTACATTTTTTCTATACCAAAATGACCCTCATGAATTAAATTTAACATTTCCTTTTGCATAGATAAAGGAATAATTACCCTTCCTCCTTTGAAAAATAAGTCATTTTCCATTGTCAACTCATTTCTGTAGTCCTAAAATACTTTGACTTGAGGTTCTATCTGATGTTTCCTTTCTGGCCAGCATCTCAGAATATATTTCTGTAAGCACTGTAGTGTAGCATCACATTCACTTTCTTTCTTCAATTCATAAATTTTGTCATCAGATGCTGGAATCAGTGTACAAATTTCTGTATCTTCATCATTATCTTCTTCTGTTGTATTCAAATACGCTCTGCTCAAAGTGTCTGCTATTAATAAGTCTTTCCCCTTTTTGTATCGTACATCTAGATCATATTTTTGTAAATTTAACAGCATTCTTTGCAATCGCTGTGGTGCTTTAAAAAGAGGTTTCTTAGTTA